TCGTCTCTTCTTACTCTTATTCTATCATCTATCTTAATCTTATCCTCTCTCTCTTCTCTCTATACTTAATATATATAGTACTATAGTATATTATATATCTATTATATATATATGTATGCGTACTATCTATATGTCATGTCTTTTATAATATATATATTATTTCATTACTTACTTACTTACTCTTATATATCTATCTATATACTATATATATATATATATATTACTACTTGCTCTCTTCTATATCTATATATATATATTACTATATACTTCTATTATAGTACCATATACTATTATATTATTATTATATCATATTAGCATTGTATGCTATACTACTCATTATCTATATGTTATACACTAACATTACCATTACATTACATACTATAAACATACATACTCTTCTAATATATATTATACTATATCATTCTACTTTATTATATCTCTATCTCTTATTTTACATATCTATATATATTATTACTGTGTTATACATTATATATATTATTAATTCATATATCATATTATACTATTCATTTATATCATCATACCTTTGTATACATATATTATATATATATATATTATATAATATATATATATATCTATATCTTACCTATATATACTATTATATCTACGTTTTCATCTATATTCATATAATCGCTTTTGTCTCTTTTGATTTTGCAGATCAATAATTTACCCCACCTTTGGTCTAACACGTGAGTAACATCTTTTTGTCCTTCATAGGAAACCTGTCTGGCTCCCGACCTGATGGAACTCCATCAATATAGTTCAATCGCTCCGTCTCCCCTTGGCTATCTTGGATCACTGCTTCAGCTGTCGGTACACAGTGAGGGTCCTCTCTTCTATTACTCTTTTCTACTCTTCTTCTCTCTTCTACTGCTCTCTCATATTTACTCTACGTTCTGTGGTGACAATAGGTTTCAAGCAAAAGGAAGGGCCGCTTTGCGGTCTGGTCTGTCAGTTCACTAAGTCTGCAGCTTCATTGATAGTAGGATACTTTCTTCAGCCTGGATACATATACGAATTTTAAACATACTTAAACATCCTCTCTGTTCTCTAAACTTTATTCATATATTATATATATAGATATATTATATATATATATATATATATAATATATTGTTATATATGTATATATATAGATAGACAGATGATAGATAATACGGCATTATATAATTTATAAATATAATATACATTAATATTATATATATATATATATATATATATATATATTATATATATATACATATATATATATATATATATATATATATATATATATATTATATATATATATATATACTATATATATATTAATATATTACATAAATATACATATGCATATGCCTATATATATGCATATATATATATATATATATATATATATATATATATATATATATATATATATAATATATATATATATATATTATATACCATATATATATATATTATATTATATATATATATATAATATATATATATATGATATTATAAACATATTTATAGTATATAATATAACATATATGTATATATATATACATTTATACTACATACATACATTACTATATTATATATATATACATATATATAATAATATATATATATATATATATATATATATATATATATATATCCATATATACTATTATATCCAATATTATATATCATATATATCTTACTCATTTCTATAATATATTTATACCACTACATCTTTTAACATATACTATATTCTCTCTCTTACTTTATTAATCTCTCTATACTACATATCTCTCTCTATCTTATATATTATCATTCATATATATATAATACATATATATTATAAATAATACTATATATATCTATATATATATATAACTATTATACATACATATATATACATACGTTAGCATATATTACACCGTATCTATAAATATATTCTACACATGTAAATATATTCTACATATAAATAAATTATATTATACACACAAAGTATACCCAAATATACATAGATCATACATTGCGATGCATATATTATATCGTTATACTATTATATAGATAAAATATATATATATTATAATTACTATATATACTATATATATTTATATGCAATATTGAATATATATATTATATATATATACTATATATATATTATATATTATTACATATATCTATATTTATTCTATATTCTTATTATATAATAGAATATAACCTATATAGATAGATAGTATAGAATATTATGAATATGATACATTCAATATACATCTATCCACTACATACTCATGTAAATATATATTATCCCTTATATATATATACGTGTGTACATGCTACTTATATATCTCTATACTAATTTCTATAGCTCTTATTACGGCTTCTCTATCTACTATATCTTATTATATATACTTATACTATCTCTTATTATTTATCATCTCTTCATCTTCTCTCCTATTTCCTTATTATATGAACTACCATCACTGATCAAAATGATGCTATTCTACCATATGACTTCGTCTCCATCGGAAGTTATCTAAACTTTCTCTCTCTATAATGACTCATAACCTGAATGTATTACTTCTCCAATTACATGTTACATACAAATTCTTCTCTAATACTCTCTATGTAATTATCTCATCTTCTCTTAAACCGGTCATCTCTCCGTTCTCCAACTACTCTCCATGGTTCATGAGCAGAAGCATAGGTCGAAGTGCTCAAGGCTCCCGCTGGCTAGTCTACCGTCCACCTCGTCACCTTTTCCACAACCCTTACAGCTGCCCTTTTCTCGTACAATCTCTCTCTCTTGCGCGCTATTGTGACTTGAAGCCGTAACTGACATCTAATGACTCTGGGTCTCCTGTCTCTTCACTTGTCTCCATGTCGATGATATCAGAGGCTATTAATCTGTGCTTCTCTGGGGCATCTGTTCGTCTCTCCTGAATTTGCTTGGGGCACTAGACCCTTCATATCAATCCGTTGCAGCTAAGACATTTGATGATTATCTGCTGTCCACAAGAGGATGGGTCATTTCCTCTTCCGCTGGATAAATCATTTGTTACATGTGACTCTTCTCTGTTCAGTATGCGTTTCTTGACTCAAAAGGATCCTACCTTCCTTGAGGTAGTGCCTCGAATCTTCACTTTTGGTATAAGGACCTTCATCAATTCGTAAGTTATCTGTTGTGCCTAATCGCGTCTCTGCTCTCTCTTGTCTCTCGTTACATCTACCTTGGCCGCTAGCCAGCCATGTATGTCAAAACGCTACACTGGTAATAGTGAAAAAAATTATCTTCCTATCTAATCGGTCTTTCTGTTCAATTAAACTCTTATAGGCTACCAACCTCTAAGTAACTTACATTTATCTCTTTAGGTGCGTGCTCAGTCGCTGATAGGCTATAAACTTCCGTACTCTTCCTCTCTTACTTGGCACTTCCTACCATCTACTCTCGCTGTCTCACTTTCCCGTCGTCCTTCCTCTCTCTCTCCATCTGCCTTCACTCCTCTCTTTCTCTACCTAACTACCTCACAACCACGTATACTTCCTTCTCATCTCTCTATCTTACCCTGTGCTAAGATGCGCTTGCTTATGCTCGCCCTCCTCTCTTCTCTCTCTCCTCTCTGATTCGTACATCTTCTCCCCCCTTCTCTCTCTCTCTCTCTCATTCCTACTCCCTTCTCTCCATCTTTATAACTTTTTCGTTCTGACTTCTAATCCCGTTAGCCTCCCCTATTCTCTTCCCTCTGCTACTTCTGCGGCTTACGGTGTGGTCTCTCTGTCGCCTTTTCTCTCTCTCCCGCTCTCTCTCTCCCCTTCATTGCTCGCCTATCTTCCCGTCTCTCTAGGCCTCCTCGTCTTGGTTAACGACAGAGCTATCTCAATCAATCCAGATCCTTGCATACTCCGCTCCGGGTCTCATCCTCATTCACGAGCATCGCCCGCGAGTTCTGCCTCGTTTTCGGCTGCATACTCCACCAAACAAGTGTCATTTGACTCGATCTCCATCCTTCTCTATCTGCCACTGCACTCCGGTTCGGCGTGCCTGAGGCCCCTACCTCCACCTGACCCGTGCATGGCGTGACACATAAGAGCAAATAGGCACATCTTCGTCCCCAGTGGGATGGGCCAGGCTGCGGGCCCTGGCCAGCGATGGCCGCTGTTGGAGAGAACTGGGCAGGTGATCGTGGCATCGGAAACGAGTGTCGTGAGAAGCAGCCATGGATGATCCGAGAGACCAGAGTACCAATCAATGGCCATTTCCGCTTCGGTTGATCCTGCCATGAAAGTGTTGGTGGTTGAATCTCTGCGGCCATCTATAGGTCGCCCGCCATCCCTTGGCCGCCCGTCGCCTCTGGGACGCCCGCCATCCTGACGCGCCCCCGTCTCTTGACCGCCCACCGTCCCTAGACCGCCCGCCGTCCATGTTGCGTCCAGGCCACATCGTCGGTCGTCTTGGCCACATGTCTGATCCCGACATAGTGGGCCGTCGAGAGCCCATGTCTCGGCCGCCTGGCGGAGGAGTGCCATCTGCCCCGCTCTTCCCATCTGGTCTCCGGGTGACATTGGGGGTTCGAAACTCCTCTCGTAGAGCCTCAGGCCATCGACGACCGAATCAATCAGCTGCTGGCGGGAGCTGCCCAGGCGGTCCCTCCACGAGACAAGCATATCCGCCGCTACTTGCTCCGTTGATCCTGCCGATGTAAAGTCTGGGTCAGTTTATATAAATATATCTATCAAATACAGAGCAAACAAATTCATGTGTTCGAATAGGAAGACATTCAATAATATGATAAATCGGTTGACACAGAATGAAATGAAAAACCTATTATACCAGCCAGCAGTGCTCATGGTGCTCAGCGGCGACTTACCGATCATGACAGGCACTTGTGGCTTGGACGGGATGAAGGGCACAACGAGACCATCAGCCAGGAGCCACGGGCGGCCGTAGGGGCGGCGGTACTCGAGCGAGGGCGCCTCCATCACGTTGCGGGCCGGAGTGGTTTCGAGGCACCGGACTGTGGAGCAGTTGAGCGGACTTCCACCAGCTCGGGGTCTGCCTCCCGCCACGAGTATTCCGGGTGGAGCGGCGCCGTGCCGGTGATCCAGGCGGAGTGGATCAGGCGATGGCCCTGAGACGAGGAAAGGAGAGGCCAGGCCATCGCCGCCCCCGCCTGGTGGCCCAGGAGCGTGATGCGGCCAGGGTCCCCGCCGAAGTGCTCCACGTTACGCTGAACCCACTTGAGGGCCGTCAGGAGGTCCGAGACGCCTTGGTTGCCGGAGGTGTGGGGGTAGGTCGATGCCGCGAGCCGGGGGTGCGGGAGGAAGCCCAGCATTCCTCGACGGACCTGCGGGGCAACGAGGACGATCCGCCGCTCCTTCACGACCGTGGTGGCTCCACTGAGCAGCCAGGGGCGCCGGGTGTCTCCTCCGAGGCTTATCCCGCCAACGTAAACCACGACAGGAAGGGGCGAGTCGTATCCTAGTTGGGGCGTGAACACATCCAGCAGCAAGCAATCCTCAGATCCCTCTACTACTGCACCCTATGAGTTACAAAGGAAAGCGGAAGGAAAAATGGTATAAAAATCCAGCAATGGAAATTATGAACATACGAGCATATACATATTCGCTTTCTGTGTTACAAATCTCCCTGACAACAACATATGCCCAATCTCTATATTGAACTTTTGCCATCAATAGATGCGTGTAATTCTGGGTACTGCCGTTACCTGAGTGTCGTAGCCCCAGCAGGGTCGTGTCACGTTGGCTAGGTAGGTCCCCGTCCAGCAGTCCTCCAGCGACGTCTGCAGCTGCGACTGGCGGAACCTGTACCGGCCCACCGGAGGGATGGCGTAGGGAAGTCCGCGGAACACATAGGCGTTGTTCTCAATCACTCTGGGAGAGAGGGAAGCGCGTTACTTTCTAGTTTATTACGATTCAAGAGATGATTTTTACCGGTGTCTATCGATAGCTCATGCAGCATCATTATTCAACACACAGGGTACTAACGCAGATTCCCTAGATATGTTAGAAGCATAGTTCTCTTTATATTCCCACAAAATAAAACACCACGACATGAAAAAAGACTCCTAAAAGGGGAAAGGCTCGCTACCCTTGGGCGAGACCGCACGCCGTGACGGTCGTGACGTGCGGGTGATGGACTCGGGGGTCCGGTCCGAAGAACGCGCCCCGCGACGTCGACGCCACAATCACTATCGTCACCACCAGCACAATCAGCACGATGGTACAGCCTGAAACCGCAGAACACGGTCAAGAGAAATCTACTCTAAAGTGTGGGTCTCTGAAGACGATGAATTTTAATGTAGGGTTAATGCTCTGTCATATTTAAGTAATCATCTTTGTGTAAGATATCGCCAAAGTAATGTATAATTTTTTTCTCTCTATCTCCCTCTTTATCATTCCCATTCTCTGTTTCTCTCGCTGTACGTCCGCTCTAACCTATAATGACCCTGGTGGAGGCCAAGGAGGAGAGCATGCGCTCCATCAGCGTCCTGGCGCGCCCCTTCCTCCTGGCGTTGGGCTGGTCGAGCTTAGGGTCCCGCACCACCGACACCCCCGGGTCGAACAGGTCCAGGTAACGAGGCTCCCTGTGGTACCCCGCGTCGTGGATCTGAAAGAGGGCGATTGCAAAACGAGCGTTAAAAAGTCTGCGGGGGGTGGTGTTATGAACCCTGTGGGACAATGGTTGTTCTCTATATATGTATACATGGAGGTAATCCACTTCAAATATCTCATCTCTATCGATGTCTCCCTCGAGCGCTTCCTTCATCTATGTTTCAGTCATCCCTCCACTTGGGCTTTCGCAGGCTTCCCTTCCCGCCCCCACGTACCTCCGGCTCCGAGTAGGGAGAGGCGGAAGCCCCGTAGGGATCGCTGCTGGAGGGGTCGCGAAGCGGGTCCTTGAGGGGGTCTTTGTAGGTGGGGTCCTTAAAGGCGCCCTCGGTCACGGACACGCCCCTGTCACTCCTCCCCGGGTCGGTGCTCCCCACCCGCCCACCACCGCGCTGTGGAAACAAAATCATCAGGTTTTAACAACACGCCAATACTTACTTCGATTTCAGCAATCGCCATTAAATGGGAAGATAGCATGTAACTAATCTCTTACATCATGATGTTCACCAGCATCATGAGCCGTCTCACCTGAGCGATCTCAAACTTCCTCCTGAAGAAGGCAGGAATTTTCCAGTGGTGGGAGTTGCGGTGTGGTGGTGGCTGGTTGTGGCGCTGCTCCGCGCCCCGCGAGGCCCCCGACCCGCTGCTCCAACTGCGCGCCACATACCGCCCCACCACGCCCACGCCGGACATCCTGCAACGCAAACACACAGGGTCAAGGAATGCTCATCAGCATTTTCATGTTAAACACGCATCATAACAAGCTTGAAACAACTACAGTAAAACGTATTCTTCATATGTAACAAATTATCATAAATATGAAATGCATTCTGATTAGACAATGTGCAATATAGCACCGGCACTAGTCATGCAGAGGGATCAGTTCTCGCTTAAATAGCAACTTTTATTGACAGTTAAAAAAAACTAAAACAACAGTTTCACGGCACCAGTAAACATTCACAAAAATACTTTAAAAAATACACCAGACAGCAATGTTGTGTTTAAAAATATATATAAAAAAACAACACCAGCGAGCAGAGGCGACCGCGCAGGTTGGTCAGACAAAATGAAAATAACGTTAGCCCGGCAATGCAACGCACGCAGTTTCTCCTCCAAATGGATAAGCTTTATGATGCGGTTAATGCGAAAGAACACGCGTTACTGTTTTTTCCTGTTTTCCACTCTCGAAAGGTTTTATTTCTGAATGAAAGGTTATCTTCTATTTTTTAAATCAAATTTTCATTTGTGTGAAAGAATATATATATATATATATATATATATATATAATATATATGTGTGTGTTGTATGTATGTATGTATGTATGTATGTATGTATGTATGTGTGTGTGTGTGTGTGTATATATATATATATATATATATATATATATATATATATTATATATATATATATATAGGTATATATAGGTATATAGTATATAGGTATATAGGTATATAGGTAGGTATATAGGTAGGTATATGGAGTATGTGTATGTATGGTATGTATGTGTGTGTGTATTGTATATATATATACTATATATAATATATATTATATATATATATATATATATGTGGTGTGTGTGTGTGTATATATATGTATATATGTATATATGTATATATATATATATATGTATATATATATATACACATATATATATATATATATATAATATATATATATATATATATTATATATATATAATTATTTTTTTTTGGTATGATGGAATGCCCGTTAACAAGAAATAACTAAATAACAAAAATATTAGCATGAAATGCCATTTCAAATCGAGATAAACGAGAGGGAGAAGAATGGGACGTGGGGAAAGAGAGAAGGGATAAAGAAGGAGAAGGAGAGGGATGCGAGAAAGCCAGGATCATCTTAGCTCTCCCATGTAAGGACTTTAGGGGGAGACGTGACGAGCCACCCCAATCACCCTTATCTCTTGGGTTCATAAGATCTAGAATCCTTTGGCCCTCTGAACACCGTCTTGATGTGCCAATTGGTTATTGTGTTTTACCAGATGTTGAAAATTTATCGTGGGTGACAGGAGATCCGAAGACACAGGGAAGAGAGGGGAGAGAAGGAGAAGGGAGAGAGGGGAGAGAGGAGAAGGGAGGGAGGGGAGAGGGTAGAGGGGAGGAGCGGGCGCGAGTATCCGATCACTTTTTCCATTTTCTAACGTGTTCGTGTGTGCGTGTGTGCACGTGTGTGTGTGTGTGTGTGTCAGAATGAGGGGTGTCCTGTGTGTCTGTAAGAAATATTGGTAGATGAATATAAGAAAATATTGCATTCTCATTACCCCCATTCACGACACACTACAAAGAAAACCAAACGCAAACTAAAATAGAAGAATAAAAAAAGAGAGAAAAAAATTGGAGAGAAAATAGGAAAAAAAAGAGAGAAGACAAGAAAAAGAAACAAAATTAAGAAAAAAAAGGGAAGAGAAGGAACGACCCAGAATAGCAATGAAGAAACGAAGAAAGAAAAAGAAAAAAAGAGCGAGAAAAAAAACATAGAAAAAAACAGAGAGAGAAATGCAGTGCTGAGTATCCTACGACGGAAGAGCATTATCTTGGCATGTTTTCCCTTCTCCATTTCTGAGTCTGAATGGCGGGGGGAAGGTGCGTAAATGGCCGGGGGAGAACAAGCGCCCGGGGGGAGAGGAGAAACATATGATAGGGGGAGAAGAGGGGAAGGATGAGTGGTAAAGGAGGAGGAGGAAGGGGAGGAGATGGAGGGGGTAGGGGGATAGGAGGAGGAGGAAGAGTAGGAGAAGAAGAGAGCAGAAGGAGGAGGAGGAAGATGAGGTAGAGGAGGAGAAGGAGGAGGTGGAGGATGTAAAGGAGGAGGAGAAGGTGGAGAAAGAGGAATAGAAGAAATCCGGTCGAGGAGCATCGTGAGGTGGAGAAGGAAGAGGAAAAGGAAGAGGAGATGGAGAAAGAATATGAAGAAGAAAAGAAGATGAAGAAGAAGAAAGAAGAAGAAGAAGAAGAAGACCAATGGAAGGAAACAGTACGCGAAGACGGAGAAGATGCATCATAAAAAATCAGGAAAAATAATAGAAAACAAAAGCACGACGAGATGGAGGAATGGGGGAGCAAACAAGAATCAGAAAAAAGGGAGCCAGAGAAAGGGGAAGCAGCAACTGATGAAGGGGAAGACAGAAAAATAGAAGAAAAAAGCGTCTACATATTAGTATCACTGAAAAGCAAGATAAAACACACATAAGACAGGAAAGACGGAATGCTGTGTTCTGGAAAATCATCTGACGTAAAAACTGTCAATCAAAATTAGAGACGAAACAGTAATATATGATAAAAAAATAAACAAAAAAAAATAAACAGATAAAATATCCAAAGTCACAGTTCCCATAAGACGCGGTTCCGATAGATTTGCTGGGTCCATTCGGCCTCGATAGATTTCGTCCCTTCCTCCTGTCCGCGGGGCTCCTCAAGATCGCGTCACTGATAACCAATATGGTGTGAATGTACATATTTCAAAAATCATTTTTAAAAAATCGAAATGTACCTTACATTATTAAAGATTAGATATGTATCTACGGTTGTAAGCATTTACTAAAACACAGATCCTTAAGTGAAAATCATAACACTTTACTACGTTCTTCTTCACTTAAAAATAAATAAAATAAAAGACTATTCACTCTCTCCAAGAGAAAAAATAAGGATGATGATGATGATGATGGTGATGCTGGTGACGATAGTAATTGTAATGATGACAGTGATGTTGATTGTAATGATTCTAGTGATGATAATGATAGTGATGATGGCGGTGAGGATAATGATAACTATCAGCACTGCCAACAACCACACTAATATCAACTAAAGCAGCAGAAAATGGAGAGGAAAATTAATCCTCCCCGAAAACCAATGAAGGAAGAAAAGATGAAAGCCGGAAAGGGGAATTTTCTTGACCACGGCGAACTTGGTGACCCCGACTGACCTGTGACCCTATCTCTCTCTCTGTCGTGACATCATGATTTGGTTGCGAAGGGAAAGAAGTGTTTTTCATGTAATGATTAAATATGGATAAGAAATAGGTCTAAATAGAAAAGAAACGACCAATAAAGACTGTATAGACCTTACAATATCTTTTTTTTTGTCTCAGAATGCGAAATCAGCCAAAGATTTTTTTTTCCTCTACAGTGTAGCCTTTCTTGGCGATGTCTTTAGATCTTTAATAACAGTATCAGATCAACTACAACATTAATGACAAAAACAACATCGACGACAGCAAGATCAACAACACCATTAACAACAATATCTGCGCTAATAACAATAAAGTCAACAAGAATAACAACGAAAACAGCAACAACAAAGTAAGCACAATGCAGCAATGTCTAAACACACAACAACAATAACGACAACAACAATAATCATAACAACAGCAACAACAATATGGCAACGGCCATAAAACTGCCCTCACCTCCCTCCTACCATAATAAGCTTTTCCTTCCTGAGCCCTCCCCTTTGCGCCCTCTTCCTCCTCCCCTCCTCATCTATTACCCTTGTCGTCATCTCTTCCTCTTTCCTTCCCTCTCTTCGAATTCTTTTTTTTTTTTTCTTCTTCTTCTTCCTACTCTTTTCAATCCTCCATCTCCTCTTCCTCTTATCTTACTCTTAGAGAGAGAGTGAGAGAGAGAGAGAGAGAGAGAGAGAGAGAGAGAGAGAGAGAGAGAGAGAGAGAGAGAGAGAGAGAGAGAGAGAGAGAGAGAGAGAGAGAGAGAGAGAGAGAGAGAGAGAGAGAAGAGAGAGAGATTGAGAACAGAGAGAGAGATTGAGAGATTGAGAGACAGAAAGACAGAAAGGAGACACAGAGAGAGAGAGAGAGGAGAGAGAGAGAGAGAGAGAGAGAGAGAGAAGAGAGAGAGAGAGAGAGAGAGAGAGAGAGAGAGAGAGAGAGAGAGAGAGAGAGATTGAGAAACAGAGAGAGAGATAGAGAGAGAGATTGAGAGAGAGGAGAAGACAGAACACACACACACACACAGACACAGAGAGAGAGAGAGAGGAGAGAGAGAGAGAGAGAGAGAGAGAGAGAGAGAGAGAGAGAGAGAGAGAGAGAGAGAGAGAGAGAGAGAGAGAGAGAGAGAGAGAGAGGGGGGGGAGAGAGATGGGAGGGAGGCAAAGAGGAGAGGAGAAAGGGAGGTAGAGAGAGGGGAAGGAGGGAGGGAGGCAAAAGAAGGATATATATTATATAATATATATATATATATATATATATATATATATATAGATAGATAGATAGATAGATGATATATATAGATAGATAGAGAGAGAGGAGAGGAGAGATAGGAGGGAGGCAAAGAAGAAGAGATAGAGATAGATAGATAGAGAAAAGAAGATATAGAGAGATAGACAGAGAAAGAGAGAGAGAGAGAGGGGAGGGAGGGAGGGCGTGTGCTTGGCGGAGGGTCGATAAAAGCGGCTTCGGGCCAAGAGGAATAAAATCGAATTCCGCTAAAGAGCAGCGCCACTCAAGCGTCGACTCTGTGTGTGTGTGTGTGTGTGTGTGTGTGTGTGTGTGTGTGTGTGTGTGTGTGTGTGTGTGTGTGTGTGTGTGTGTGTGTGTGTGTGTGTGTGTGTGTGTGTGTGTGTGTGTGTGTGTGTGTGTGTGTGTGTGTGTGTGTGTAGTGCGGCGCGTGTGTGAACTATAGTATAAACAGCGGCTGCAAAAGCATAA